GTGGACGCTCGAGATGCCCCTGTCCTGCGCGACGAGATTGCTGTCCTACTGGCGAAGGATGCAATTGAGCCTGTCCCTCCAGCCGAGATGGAGTCAGGGTTTTACAGCCCTTACTTCATCATGCCAAATCCTGGATCTGCGCATCATTCAAGATGTTGATGCAGAAGCGCATCATCAGATGCATCCAGCCTCAGGATTGGTTTGCAGCGGTCGACCTGAAGGATGCTTACTTTCATGTCTCGATTCTTTCTCAACACAGGCCGTTCCTAAGGTTTGCATTCGAGGGTCGGGTATGGCAGTACAGGGTCCCCCCCTTCGGGTTGTCCCTGTCCCCCCGTGTCTTTACGAAAGTCGCAGAGGGCGCCCTTGCACCGTTATGGGAAGGGGGCATCAGGATCCTCAACTACCTCAACAACTGGCTCATCATGGCCCGGTCACGAGAGCAGTTGTGCGATCACAGGGACCTGGTGCTCCGGCACCTCAGCCAGTTGGGGCTTCGAGTCAACTGGGAAAAAAGCTAACTCTGCCCCGTGCAGAAAATCTCTTTTCTTGATATGGAGTTAGACTCTGTGATATGACGGCGCGTCTCACCAACGAGTGTGCCCAGTCAGTGCTGAACTGCCTGAGTTCCTTCAGAGGCAGGAATGTGGTATCTCTGAAACATTTTCAGAGGCTCTTGGGGCATATGGCAGCCGCAGTCACACCGCTCGTATTGCTTCATATGAGACCACTTCGGCACTGGTTACATTCCCGAGTCCCGAGATGGGCATAGCGTCACGGCACACTTCGCGTGACCATCACGCCGGAATGTCGCCGCCTATTCAGCCCATGGATGGACCTTGCCTTTCTACGGGCCGAGGTGCCCTTAGAAGAAGTGTCCTGGCACGTCGTTGTCACGACGGATGCATCCAGTACGGGCTGGGGCGCTACATGCAACGGGCAGGCAGCCTCGGGGCACTGGACAGGGCCTTGACTGCTTTGGCACATCAACTGCCTAGAGCTGTTGGCAGTGCATCTGGCCTTGCGGCAGTTTCGGCCACTGCTGCAAGACAAGCACGTGTTGGTCCGCACGGACAACACTGCGGCTGCCTCGTACATCAAACGGCAGGGAGGTCTACGATCACATCGCATGTCACAGCTCGCCCGTCATCTCCTCCTCTGGAGTCAGACGCGTCTCAAGTTGCTGCGCGCCATCTAAATTCCGGGGGAGCTCAATCGTGCAGCCGACATGCTCTCACGACAGCTCACGTTCCCCGGAGAATGGCGACTCTATCCCGAGACGATCCGGCTGATTAGGAGTCGATTCGGGGAAGCCCAGGTAGACCTGCTTGCTTCCCATGAATCCTCCCACTGCCAGCTGTATTACTCCCTAACTGAGGCCCCTCTCGGCACGGATGCACTGGCACACAGCTGGCCTCGGGCTCTACGCAAATATGCGTTTCCCCCAATGAGCCTTCTCGCACAGACACTGTGCAAGGTCAGGGAGGACGAGGAACAGGTCTTGTTGCGCCGTACTGGCCCACCTGGACCTGGTTTTCGGAACTCATTCTCCTCGCAACAGCCCCTCCCTGGTGCATACCTCTGAGGAAGGATCTTCTTTCTCAGGGGCTCGGCACCCGCGTCCAGATCTCTGGGACCTCCAGGTGTGGCTCCTGGACGGGACGCGACAGACTTAAGTGATCTGCCACCGGTGGTGGTTGACACCATCACTCCGGCTAGAGCTCCCTCTACGAGGCAAGCCTATGCACTAAAGTGGAGTCTGTTCGTGAACTGGTGTCCTTCTCTTCCATCAAGAGGGTTGGGGACCTCCAAGCATTTTGGTGAGCGAAGAGTGCCTTGTGTTTGGGCTGGCCTACTCTCACGTCGTCCTGAGACCCCGGCCTGGATACTTGCCCAAGGTTCCCACCACACCTTTTCGCGATCAGGTGGTGAACCTGCAAGCACTGCCCTTGGAGGAGGCAGACCCAGCCTTAGCATTGCTGTGTCCCGTAAGAGCGTTGAGCATATACGTGGACCACACCCGGAGCTTCAGAAGCTCTGAGCAGCTCTTTGTCTGTTACGGAGGTCAGTCTCCAAGCAGAGGTTGGCCCACTGGATAGTGGATTACAGTTCAACATGCTGTAAACGTAAAACAAATTCACTTGTTAAATATCTTTGCAGAAAGATGCATGAAATATAAAGGCTATAATGTAGACCTTGTTTTAGAGGTTAGAGTAGAGTAGAGTTTTAGAGATCGACTCATAAAGTCCAGATGACTCAGACTCTTCCTGACTGTCAGTATAACAGCAGTAATAGATGATTATTAACAGTGAATGTAAACAGCAGCAGCTGTCAGCATCATCAAACATAAATTTTAGACATACAGTAGCAGTTCTGCACAGCTTTCTGCTTTTCCATTGCTATTCTATGTAAACATGCGCTTGACGGACGCATTTGACCATTGAGTTGCATCTTGCGTTTTTTGCAGCATCTCACTCATTAAACAGCGTCTAAAAACGCGGCGCTCAGCACTGGCAGATTGGCAATGTGTCTAATTGTAACGTTTGCTAATATTTTTATTCAAAACCACAATTCCTCGATGTAAAAAAAATAAAATCGTGGCAAAACATTCAAATTAATCAATAAAATCTGAGAAATCGTCCAGCCGAAAAGCACTGAATTTGAGATATAAGAGATGATGTACAGTCAGACGTTATTATGGTAAAACAAACCCCAATGATCAGGACACAAAGCGACTTAATTTAAGACTTAAATGAAGGAAAGAACTACAATCCCATGAAGCATTGACAATGGAATAATCAAAATAAAAACAATGGAGAAGTGTAATGTAAAACTGTTCATTCTAAGATGTTGATTATAAATACCTAGCAAACAAAAATATGATCTAGGAAAATTTGTGTCTATTTTTTTTTAATTTTCTTATATTTTGGCATTTATGTATGGTAAAAACATTCCCATATATAAATACCTCATTCAATCATTCGTTCATTAATTTATTCATACATTAAGTTATTAAAATGATATTTCTTTAGCTTTAGTGCTAAAGTTTTAAGAACATTATTACAGACCAGATAACTTTGAACGAACGTTCTATTAATGTTACTGGAAGAATGTTTGTTCATATCATAACTTTGAGAACACCTTGCCAGGACGTTGCTTGTTAGCCGAGTATAGAAACTATGTTTTAAGTTTTCTGCAAAATACGCATAACAGACATTCAAGACATTCAAGTTTATGATTACATCATTCGCAGTGCTTCATGGAAGTGTTCTTTTGCCGTGATATTCTGGTGGATATTTTATAGGTAATGAACCAGGAATTCAAGTACTGAACACAATTATTTAAAAATTAGTTGAAAATGCTTTATCAAATGGCTTCAACAGAAGCAAATAACACTGATTTACAACCTCGCAGCTCACAGTAGGTCCGTCTTTATAAGACAAGCTATCATTAAAAATCAATTCCACTATGGAATTGATTCCACATTCAAATAATTAGACATGTTAAAACACAGAATTTGGTAACAATAAAACATACACTGCAAAAAAATGATTTTCTTACTTATTTTTTGTCTTGTTTTCTAGTATAAATATCTAAACATTCTTGAATCAAGATGCATTTACTGTACAAGTAATTATCAAAATTGTGTTAGTTTTTCCTTAAAACAAGCAAAAATATCTGCCAATGGGGTAAGACAAATAATCTTAATTCAAAGGCTAAACAAGATTATTTTCTTGCCCCATTGGCAGATATTTTTGCTTGTTTTAAGGAAAAACTAACAAATTTTATATATTTTTTTTACACAAAACAAAATATCTTAAGTCATTTTACTTGTACAGTAAATTCATCTTGATTCAAGAGTTTTTAGATATTTATACTAGAAAACGAGACAAAAATACTATTATTTTATAAATAATATTATTTAAAAACATATATTTTTTGCAGTGACTACAGTGAGAAAAAAAATCATATAGGGCCCTAAACATGTCATTTTTGTTAAACTTTTAATAAATTGACTTGAAATTGTATAAGTTGCATGATTTTAATCAATTAGACATGCTTTTTGATTAATAAAATGTTATTTAACCATTTAAAAAGGAGTCCAGAAAAATTTAAATGGAAAAAACGGAATTTGGAGAAAAAATTAAAAAAATGGAATTTGGGAAAAAATAAAACAGATTTCATAGGTCCTTAGTAACGTGATCACGTGAACATTATCCGTACCTGAAGCGGCTGGAATGTCTCCAGCGTCAGTAGGGGGCTCCACTGAGCCGCTGTCTGTGTCCACCTTTAGCTCTCCCACCTGATGCTGCAAGATGTTCATCAGACTCCACGAGCCGTCCTGAAAACATCAACACGCTCACATCAGGACGCTTAACGCCGCTCCATCAGCTGATCTCTATAAATACTCCAGTCCACACTCATCATGTGTGTGTCCTAATTACTTCATTATCTCACGGCATTCTGGCTCGCCTGTGTCTGGCGTTAATGTGAGCGCTGTGAGAGTGTGAAAAGATCTCTGCGTAGGTTTATTAAAATCAGATGAGCTGAGAATGCAGAACGGCCTTCTGGGAACAAGAGGAACGTAATGTCCTGTGTGTAATTCACTGTGACCATCTACATCTCCAGAATGAGCTCAGATGTTCCGCTTGGACCAGGATGATGTAAATGTAGGGCCCTAAGATTACAGCAATGCCGAAAACATGGAATCTAGTAAATTTTTTTTTTTTTAAATCACTGTATAAATGTGTCAAATTTTGTATGAATAAATCAAAAGCACTCCCTACATGAGCACATCAACACACCAACTTCATCTGAGAATCACTTCAGCAGCATTTCACCATTTACTTTGAGAAACACTATCAGAATACACAGAAACACAAAGAACTGCACTACAACCCGCCAAAATAAAAGTTCGGTTCAGCTTGAAGAAATTATGACAGAATAATAATAATAATACAGTTTATTTATAAATAATTTCAAAGTAATATTACTCATTTTTTCATCTATTTTTATTTCTAACGGTGAGATTCTGTTGTGCAGCACTTACATTAGATTTTTTTTACATCTTAAAATATTAATTAAACTGTTAAAGATTTATGCATTTATTTGATTACCAATGTGTTTGACAATAAATTCGTATTAAATCATAAATCACAGAATCCAAAAAAATTCAAACATAAAAAGTTATGAATTCAATTCATTATACATCCACTTTTTAATGAATACACACTGGAAATTAAAATAAATACCATTAAAATGAAACTAAAACATGGAATTTGGGGGGTGGGGGGGGTGTATTTCATAGGGCCCAACACTGAAAAAATTAGTA